GCACAGAAGCAACTTAAGAGTGTATACCTTTGGTTTAGCAAAAAAAGTATCTGGATTGAGGGTAGCAGTATGTTCTTTGCATTTTGTCAAAATCAGTAATAGATTATCTAAGAGTTTATCAGGAAGATTATTTGCTAAATATTCTAAAGTATTTTTCATTGTAAATGTAAATCTCTCCTCGGTCCCATTGGCAAATACTTCAATTCCAGGCAATTGCTGAGTATCAAGGGTGATTTTAATTATTTTGTAATGTTTTTTTTATCTTGTTCAGCACCCTCAACATCGCTTAGCCCAGTTATTTTATTTAATAAATTTCAGATCAAAAAAAATAATAAATAAATCTTTTATTTCAAATATTGTATATAAAATCCTCTTTTAGTTGTTGTAATCAATAATTTACTTTTAATATCTTATATCAGAAGGCTAATATTTTAAACATATATTGTATAGTTATATATATATCTCTACAATAAATTATCAGAAAAATTATTTGTTTTATTAATAATATATAGGTTAGATGCTAAAAAAAGGCTGAAAATAACAATTTTTTTAAGAGATTTTTTTATATAAATTAACTTAGAATAAGATTAGAATCATTTTTTACTTAATATACAAAAGTAGTTATATTAATAAAATTTTGCAGTATAGCTCTTTAAAGTTTATATTTTCTTATAAATTATTATTAGATTTATAATATAAAAATTAATTTTCTAAAGATCTTTTTTTGTCATTTTTAGTTCTTTCTTAGCACCTAGCCTATATATTAAAAATAAAAATTTATGCTTTATATACAGGTTTTAATTTATTAATAATCTATCTTTATTTTTATCTATTTAAAGTTAATTAATTATATTTTTAAAATAATTTTTTTATATTTTTAAAAATTTTTTTATAAAAATATTCTAATCAAGAAGTTATTACTAAAAATTTTTATATTATATAAATGATATTTTATATATAAATATTTTCAAAACAATTTTTAATTAGAATATCTTTTATAAAAAATTTTTAAAATCTAAAAAATTATTTTTAAAACATAACTAATAAGCTTTAAATAGATAAAAAAAAAATCCTTTTATATAAAGTATAAATTTTTATTTTTAATATACTTTATTAATAAAAAAAGATTATTCAGTAATTTATTATAAGAGTATGAACTGTAACTTGCTATAAAATTTTCTCTAGAAGATACCTCATTTATTACTAATAGTAATAAACTGCTTATATAAATTGTTTTAAAATTTTTGTTTTTATTATTAAATAAAATATAAAAAAAGTTTATTATTTATATTAGTTATCTGCTATATTTTCTATTTACTCAACTTTCAATACTATTTAACTTTTAATAAGTTATTATTCTAATAATTTTGTATTAACTGAAATAAAAAGGTAATATATTTGGGCTAGATTGTGGGTATAATTTTTTCAGATATCTGTTGTTAAATTAATATTATAAAATATGAATTCAAATAGTAGTTATCTTTTACTTATATCTAATTTTGTAGAATAATATCCTTTATAAAGATTTTTAAAACTATATAAAACATTATACTATAAACTTCCAATATACTATAATAGCTAATATTAGGTGCTATTGAAAAACCAAAACTGCAATATATGCTACTTTGGTTTCTTATATATATAATATATTATCAAAATAAATATTATGATAACTGAATTTAGCCTTATATATTTATTCTAAATCTAAACTAATATCCTATATTATAAATAATCTATTTATTTATAATAAAATAATTATATTATTACATATATATTTGTATAAATTACCATTTTCTGTATATGTAGTTGTAATATAATATTGTATAGCTAACTCTTGCATAAACCTCAAATATGAAAAGAGCTTGTTTTTTTTGTTATAATAGTAAAATAAAGTTGCTGCCTAATATTGAGAATAATAATTCAAGTTATAATATTTAAAAACTATGAGAAAAAAATATTTTACTTCAACCAGAATGTTTAAAATCATATTTTGTTTTCTAACATTTTTTAAGACAACAATTTTATTCGGTATTCAATTGAAAATTCTTCCTAACAATTGAGCAGAATATATTATACCACTTCAACATTAGTCAACTCTTTCTAATTTGTACAATAAGACATTATTTCAGATTATAAGCCAATATTAGAGTATATTTAATAAATATGTCTATTTCTTGATTTCCACTTGTCCAAGTAACAGATCCTTCTTAAAAGTAAGATATGATACAAATTAAACAAAAATTGAATATTTCTTTTGAATACTTGCATTTTAAATGCTTTTTAATCATTCTGAAATTTGTCTACTTTCTTTCAATAATATAAAAAATAACAATTCTATTAGATAAGAGATTTTTTTAAAAAAAATTTAAAAAAATTTTATTATTTAACTATTTGATAGTGAATAATCTCAGCAGAGGTTTTTTTTGATTTTTAACAGCCCTATAAAAAAGTTTGTACAGTTATTGTAGATATTGTTCAAAAAAATGTCGGGAACGGATTCGATGTTCTGAATGCCAGTACAATTTTATACATAATCTAAAAAAAAATTTAAGTTGTACAAAATCAGAATATGGACTGCGGTCAATAGAAATCAAGCAGATCTACATGTTTTATAAAAGTGAGTTATACGATTCATTTAGTAGAAAAAATTATAATAATCATTTTTGCTTATAAAATATGATTATATAAATGTAATAAAATTTTATGTTAAATGAATAAATTATTTTTGTTCGTTCATGTGTGTTCGTACAACCTTGGTAGATCGATTTTAGCTCAGAGATCGGATTGTGTCAACTATATTGATTATTGACTAATTAATGCCATCAATAGAAATCAAGCAATTATCTTAGTTTAATTAAAATATACAAGTATAAAGTACTGCAATAGAATTTCTTAAGTCACCATGATCATGTTTGCAAATTAAATTTTTACAATAGCTTCGAGCAAATTAAACTGAACATCTATAAAACATGTAACGGTTACGGATTACCAAATCAAAGTTCAGGAAAGTATTTAGAATTACGAACTAAAACTTTAAACAAAATTATTAAATACTAAAAAAATATATATTTAATTTTTTTTTAAAAAAAAGATTTATAGTATATTATTAAATGAAATCAAATTTAAATAATGTTTTTACAAAAATTTAAATATAAAATTAAATATATCAACTCATTTGATCTATAATATAACATTCATTAGAACATGTCCTATGGTTGTTATGCTCTAGTTCTTAAAAATATTCGGGATAGCAAATCCGACCATGTCTGTATTGCGATCGAAGGTAACCTGTAAAATGAAATTAGTTAGATACATTAATAGTTGCTACAGTTGATGCAGAAATTTGGTTTTATTTTAATATGAAATCTATATTGTTTGAGGAGAGTTTTGAGGGTTGAGTTAGGGTTTAGGGTTAGAAATATTAATAAAAGATATATCTAGATTTAGAGTACTTAAGAGGCCCCAAATTTTCAGCATCAGATGTGATATAATTCTTAAATCACTTATAACACTTACATAGACGTTCTTCAAAAAAGGTGTTCCGAGTACCCAATAAGAAAGTTGTGTAATCTTTATAAATCGAAATAAGAATTAATATCAGTAAATTTTATAAATTAATAAAATGAAATATTATTGGCTTACATTCATATCAGTAAATCCTACATAACACAATTGACTTGTTTTATCAATTTGTATTTTGTAAAAACTATCGGCTATAAAAATAAAAATTGGTATTAAAATTATAGTACTTGGCCCATTAATAAGAAGATATACTTACGATCTGAAAAGAATGGTGTCTTTGTACTTCCAAGTGTGAATCCAATATTCATATTGACATTACATGGGCCTACATATCCATAATTAGGATCTAAATAACCACCTACAGCATTTGTAATTTTATTTGCAATATCTACACTAAAAACCAATTGAGTTCTGGTAGTGCTAATGATGGCGGTTGGTTGATTCTCTCCAAAATCAATAGTGTCATCGTAGTTATTATCTTTGACGATCTTTATTCCTGCAATCCAAAATATAATATTAATCTACAAGTTGGTAAGTTAAACTACAATCAACTCTATATATCGGACTATATATACTGAACTAAAAGGACAAAAAATATATTAATTAATAGTTATCAGGCGGCGCCCGGCTGATAACGGATTTATTTGGTCTGAAGGAATTCAACTTCTTAGGTTGATCTTAAATTATTGACCAAATAATTAAGTTATAATGAGTCTGCATGAATTTATCCGGTAACTTACGATGATAGTCTGCCTAATGTCCATTTTATTATTCGGCAATTATATAGTTTCCGTAGAATATTAAATTTATTTAGCAGAACAAATCATAGCAAGCAGTCAGATAATTATAAATTATTATATCGATTATATGGAAACAATATAATAAAAATTTAACATATAATCGATCGAATTCATAAATATTTCTAAGGTGGTAGGCGGACGTTGTCCCGTTAAAATTGTAGGGACACGGACAGTCCCGGACAGTGTCCCATGTCCCGGACAATGTCCCATGTCCGTGATGGTGTCCATGTCATATAGTTTATCGAAAACCTGATTGGCTAACAAGGCCGTTCTTATTATAATTTTAATTGTCCGGGACAAAAAAATGCTCGTGGACATGTCCGCGGACGTCCCGTCCCGGACTGTCCGTCGTCCGCGTCCGTGTCCCATGACAACACTGGTGGTAGGTACATATATAATCTTGTTAATATCAACTTAACGGGTCCAGGGTTGACAATAAATATCATTTCCCTGACTCTTAGATCAACGCTAACTATAAATGAATATAACCCTAACTCAAAATCAGGCAATCTTCGGTATATAGAGTTGACTGTATGGGGGTTTTTTTTTTAAACCTTACCAGGAATTGTGATTTTCCAGAAACCTATTATTTACCAAGAGTTTAAACAATAAATGTATAAAAAAAGAAAACTTAAAAAAGAAATATTTTTGACCTTTTTCAATGACTGGTGTCCAAATTATCTGAGAACTTGGACTACCTATACTTCCAAGAAATTCTGGGTTATAGCCTCCAAAAACAAGAGCACCACCATTTTGTGCACTTTCAGAGCAAACACCAGGACTTTGTTGGCAGAGCTATAAATACAAAATCCGATTAATGAATTTTTTAGTACAATAAAAAAAGAATTTTAGAGACTTACTGTTACCATCCGCTGAGGAACTAATAGAACACTAAAAATATTTCGTTTTATTACACCTGTTCATGGAATTACAAAAGCTTAGAGTCAGCTACCTTTAACTGTTAATAAAAATCAATAAAAATCTTACCAAGACGATGTAAGTTTGTGCAGATATTAGTATAATTAAAATATTTGTTTTTATAGTTGCTAATAGTTTCATACGCTATTTACAAATTATATTAGTTTAAGATTAAAAGGCTATTATTTTTTTTATACTGTAATCAAAATTTAGACATACCAAGTCCCAGTGTACCCGAAACGAGAAAATCTATTTTATTTTGGGTAGCATCATTTGTTGGTTCAACAGAACTCACTAGACCAAATCTTTGTTTCAGTTGTGATAGACCAGGAATACCAACATAGTCCTCTCCAAACTCGCTGATATTAAACCGTCCAATGGTAGAAGGGTTATTATTCAAAGTTAGATATGTAGAACTTTTCGTCTCATCAAATATTAAAGTAAGGGCGCATGTTTCATCGCATAAAGTTGAAAATACAAAAGAATCAGCAGATTCAGTGTCATAAATCAGGAGACGTTGTTGTTGAGGAGTTCCTATACCAGTATCCATAACCCACTAATAAGGTAAATAAGTCATTATTGTTATTTTTAATTATAGAGGTTAATGTTAAATAATAGTAACGTACCACACCATCTTGAAAGTAGTTTCCTAAAATTGGTGGGTGATTAGTATTTTCTTGAAGTTTGGCAAAATGAGATTTCAAAGCATTTTGAGAAATATTATCAAGCGACCGATGTGTCAGACTATGTATCACCAAATCTTGATTATTACAGTTCACTGAATAATTTGGCTCGAAAAGCATTAAATATACTAATAAAATGAGAAACGTAATTATTACATTCATCATTAGACACAAGTATAACAAAATAAATAAAAAGTGAAAATCAATATTGCTTTCTTCAATCTAATGAATTATTAGACGATATAAAGTTCGAATTCATTTAGGTGCAAAGAATGCACTTTATAACAAATTTGATGGAAAGTACAAATAACATATGGGTTATTGCCTAGCAAAACCATTCTTAGAGTATATGGGGAAATCAACAAAAAAAAAGATCTTCGGAAAATCAATTTTTATATTATAAATTTTATAAAATTTTATAAGCTATAAGAAACTGTAAATTTTGAAGAGCTATACTGCAACATTTTATTAGTACAACTACTTTTGTATTTTAAGTAAAAATGATCAATTTCCCCTTTTCTGTAGCATTTAGCCCATATATAATTTATATGTTCTAAGCATGGTTTTGCTAGACAACAACCCATATGATAATTCAGAAAACTTTGATCAGAATACCGATTCCTATTCACATATTAATCATATTTATTTTATTAAATCGATAATTTATTTAAAAAACTTAGATCAGAATATCGATTCCTATTCACATGTTAATCATCTTTTATTTTATTAAATCAATAATTTATTTAAACAACTATTGAATCAATGAAGTACATGCGAATAAGAACTGATATTCCAGTCTAAGTTTTTCTGAATTGGCCCGATCGGAGAATTCGAAGGGTGATTTTCCTAGCAAAGATCCCATATGAGTGCTGTCGGACATTCAATTATATTTCGTGCACAGTTAGCCGTCTGTAGAAAATCTATCATGATGATAGATTTTCTACAGACGGCTAACTGTGCACGAAATATAATTGAATGTCCGATGACAGGTTTTCCCTTGGCAGCACTCATATAAAATTCACTTTATCTTGTAAGTAGATCTGACAGACGTCGATACTACGTATAATATAAAAGGTTACGAGATAAAATTAGTGATTTGA